CACTATAATCATATTCCTGTTTGGGAGCTTTAACTTGCCTGGAACATTCTTCCCCAATATACTTTCATGTTTCATCTCTTCAGGTCTTTTTCTACCTTCAGGTCAAATTTTACCTTCTCAGTGAGGCCATCCTGACTTCCCTACTTCAAATTATAACACCTTTTCCAGAACTCCCTTTCCCAGTTCCCATCTATATGTTTCTTCATAACACTTTCATTTAACATACTATAAATATTACTTATTTATATGTTTATTGACTATCTTCTCACATCTAAATGTAAATTCTATGAAATCAGGTATTTTCCTATTTTGTCATTCCCATACTTTCAGTACCTAGAATATGAGAACTATATTGAGATATAATTCACATACCATAAAATTTACCCTTTTATAATATACAAGTCAGTACCTAGAATATTCAGGGGTTTTAAGTATCTTTACAGTTAGACAACCATCACAATTACCTAATTTTAGAACATTTTCATTATCCTGAAAAGAAACCCAGTACCCTCTGGTAGTCACTCCCTACTTCCTCCACTCAGCTCCTGGTCATCACAAATTTAATTTCTGTCACTACAGATTTGCTTATTCTGTACATTTCATATAAATGGAATAACAAAATATGTGATCTTTCATAACTGGCTTCTTTCACTTAACATGTTTTCAAGGTTCATCTGAATAAGTAGCTAACCATAATATCAATTTTATCTCACATTTTTTAAAAACTTAGAGTATGTCATGCCCTATGCTCAGAACTCTCCAGTGTTATAATATTTGCTTATTAACATGTTTTCAAGGTTCATCTGTGCTAAGTCATATGGTCATAGGTCAGTTTGTTTACACCCTACCAACACTCTCTATTGTCTTTGTTATTTTAGCCATCCTGGTGGGTATGAAGATATATCTTATTGTAGTTTTGATTTGTACTTCCCTGATGACTAATGTTCAGCATCTTTTCATGTGTTTATTGGCCATATGCATATCTTCTTTGGAAAATGTAAAATCAAATCTTTTTGCTCATTAAAAAAAATAGACCATTTTGGATTAAAGATGACGGCATGAGAGGAGAAACAGAGGCTTCCTCCTAAAACCGTATAAAGTTAGAAAATATAGTTGGTGCAACTAATCCTGAAAGAGCAACAGGAAAGAGCATTACACCAGACTGCAGACACCTGGAGAAAAGAGCAGACTTCATGGAACAGGGTAACATACCAAAGCTATGGCTTGGCGGGACCCAAGCCCTTTCCCCACCCCAGCTCACCAGCAGGAGTAAGAGAAATGGAACAGGGAGGGAGTGGAAGGCCTGGGACTGCTAAATACCTCACTCCAGAGATCTGCTCTGGGAGCACAAATGTACATTTCATGGTGCTTTCATGATACTCATGTGATTACAGGGTTAGAAAGCTAATACAGGCAGAATTCCTGGACAGACTGAGATTCCAGCTGCTTGTGGAAAGCAGGGATCTATATCCAGCTGCTCCAGGACAAAAGCTTATACCTCTGTGCTGGGCCCACTGGTTCAGGCAGTGGAGACAGGCATAGCAGCCAGGAAGCAGGAAACAGTTCTCTCCTCCCAGCAGGCACCAATACCACTCCCCTGAAACCCCTGACATTGCTTCAGGGGCTGAGCAGCTCCAGAGTAGAGCTTCTGGACACTAGAGGGTGCCATATACAAATATGAAACGCCAAAGGAACCTGGTCCAGAGTAAAATTAAGATAACTCTAGAGAAAGATTTAAATGACATGGACCTTATGACTCTTCCTGAAAGGGAGTTCAAAATAAAAATCATCAACATGCTAATGGAGGTACAGAAAGATATCCAAGAACTCAGGAATGAATTCAGGTCAGAGATCCAATCGTTGAAGAGCACAATGGACAGTATTGAAAGCAGGTTGGATACGGTGGAAGAGATGATAAATGAAATAAAAACTAGAGAAAAGGAATACAAAGAAGCGGAGGCACAGAGAGAAAAAATATATCTCTAAGAATTAAAGAATATTGAGAGAATTGGGTGACCAATCCAAATGGAACAATATTTGCCTTATAGGGATACCAGAAGAAGAAGAGAGATAGAAAGGGATAGAAAGTGTCTCTGAGGAGGTAGTCGCTGAAAACTTCCATCTGGGGAAGGAGATAGTCTCTCAGGCCATGGAGATTCACAGATCTCCCAACACAAGGGACCCAAGGAAGACAACACCAAGACACATAGTAATTAAAATGGAAAAGATCAAGGATAAGGACAGACTGTTAAAAGCAGCCAGAGAGAGAAATAAGATCACATACAAAGGAAAGCCCATCAGGCTAACATCAGACTTCTCAGCAGAAACCTTACAGGCCAGAAGGGAGTGGCATGATGTATTTAATGCATGAAGCAGAAGGGCCTGGAACCAAGATTACTTTATCCAGCAAGATTATCATTTGAAGGAGAGATTAAGCAATTTCCAGATAAGCAGAAGCTGAGAGAATTTACCTCCCACAAACCATCTCTACAGTCTATTTTGGAGGGACTGCTGTAGATGGAAGTGTTCCTAAGGTTTAATAGCTGTCAGCAGAGGAAATAAAACCACAGTAAAGAAAGTAGAACAGCTAATTACTAAGCAAATGCAAAATTAAATGAACTAACCCCAAAGTCAATCAAGGGATACACAAAGAATACAGAATACGATACCTAATATATAAAGAATGGAGGAGGAAGAAAAAGGAGGAGAAAAAGAAAAGAACCTTTAGATTGTGTTTGTAACAGCATATTAAGTAGTTAAGTTAGACTCTTAGATAGTAAGGAAATTAACCTTGAACCTTTGGTAACCATGAATCTAAAGGCTGCAATGGCAATAAGTACATACCTATCAATAATCACCATAAATGTAAATGGATTGAATACACCAATCAAAAGACATAGAGTCACTGAATGAATAAAAAAACAAGATCCATCTATCCATCTATATGCTGCCTACGAGAGACTCACTTTAAACCCAAAGACATACACAGACTAAAAGTGAAAGGATGGAAAAAGATCTTTCATGCAATTAACAGAGAGAAAAAAGCAGGAATTGCACTACTTGTATCAGACAAAATAGACTTCAAAACACAGAAAGTAACAAGAAACAAAGAAGGACATTACATAGTGATAAAGGGGTCAATCCAACAAGAAGATATAACCATTATAAGTATCTATGCTCCCAACACAGGAGCACCCACATATGTGAAACAAATACTAACTGAATTAAAAGGGGAAATAGAATGCAATGCATTCATTCTAGGAGACTTCAACACTCCACTCACTCTGAAGGACAGATCAACCAGACAGAAGATAAGTAAGGAGTCAGAGGCACTGAACAACACATTAGAACAGATGGACCTAACAGACATCTACGTAACTCTACACCCAAAAACAACAGAATACACATTCTTCTCAAGTGCACATGGAACATTTTCAAGAATAGATCATATACTAGGCCACAAAAAAAGCCTCAGTAAATTCAAAAAGATTGAAATTGTACCAACCAGTTTCTCAGATCACAAAGGTATAAAACTAGAAATAAATTATGCAAAGAAAATGAAAAATCCCACAAACACATAGAGGCTTCACAACATGCTCCTAAATAACCAATGGATCAATGACCAAATAAAAACAGAGAACAAGCCAGGCGGAGAAAGACAAATACCAAATGATCTCCATCATTTGTGGTGTATAACAATGAAGCAAAACTGAAGGAACAAAACAGCAGCAGACTCACAGACTCCAAGAAGAAACTGATGGTTACCAAATAAGAGGGATAGGGGAGGGTAGCTGGGGAGGGAGGGCAAGGAGTAACTTAAACTGTCCGTTTGCAGATGACATGATATTGTACATAAAAAACCCTAAAGACTCCATTCCAAAACTACTACATCTAATATCTGAATTCAGCAAAGTTGCAGGATACAAAATTAATACACAGAAATCTGTGGCATTCCTATACACTAACAATGAACTAGCAGAGAGAGAAATCAGGAAAACAATTCCATTCACAATTGCATCCAAAAGAACAAAATACCTAGGAATAAACCTAACCAAGGAAGTGAAAGAACTATACTCTGAGATCTAGAAGACACTCATGAAAGAAATTAAAGAAGATACCAATAAATGGAAACACATCCTGTGCTCATGGATAGGAAGAATTAATACTGTCAAAATGTCTATCCTGCCTAAAGCAATCTACAGATTCAATGCAATTCCTATCAAAATACCAACAGCATTCTTCAATAAACTAGAGAAAATGGTCCTAAAATTCATATGGAACCACAGAAGACCTCGAATAGCCAAAGCAATACTGAGAAGGAAGAATAAAGTGGGGGGGAATTATGCTCCCCAACTTCAAGCTCTACTACAAAGCCACAGTAATCAGGACAATTTGGTACTGGCACAAGAACAGACCCACAGACCAATGGAATAGACTAGACAGCCCTGATATAAACCCAACCATATATGGTCAATTAATATATGAAAAAGGAGCCATGGACATACAATGGGAAAATGACAGCCTCTTACTCTTAGAAGACAACATAGGCAAACATCTCCTGAATATAAGCATGAGCAACTTCTTCCTGAAACCATCTCCTCAAGAAAGGGAAACAAAAGCAAAAATTAACTCATGGGACTACATCAAACTAAAAAGGTTTTGTACAGAAAAGGACATCATCAACAAAACAAAAGGCATCCTACAGTATTGGAGAATATATTTGTAAATGACATATCTGACAAGTGGTTAACATTGAAAATATATAAAGAACTTACACACCTCAACACCCAAAAAGCAAATAACCTGATTAACCAATGGGCAGAGGATATGAAGAGACAGTTCTCCAAAGAAGAAATTCAGATGGCCAACAGATACATGAAAAGATGCTCCACATCACTAATAATCAGGGAAATGCAAATTAAAACCACAATGAGATATCACCTCATACCAGTAAGGACAGCCAGTATCAAAAAGACTAAGAACAACAAATGCTGGCGAGAATGCGGAGAAACGAGAACCCTCGTATACTGCTGGTGGGAATGTAAGCTATTCAGCCATCGTGGAAAGCAATATGGAGGTTCCTCCAAAAACTAAAAATAGAAATATCATTTGACCCTGGAATTCCACTCCTTGGAATTTACCCAACAAATACAACTTCTCAGATTCAAGAAGACATATGCACCCCTATGTTTATCACAGCACTATTTACAATAGCCAAGATATGGAAGCAACCTAAGTGTTCATCAGCAGATGAATGGGTAAAGAAGTCGTACATATACACAATGGAATACTATTCAGCCATGAGAAAGAAACAAATCCTACCATTTGCAACAACATTGATGGAGCTGGAAGATATTATGCTCAGTGAAATAAGCCACGTGGAGAAAGACAAATGCCAAATGATTTCCCTCATTTGTGGAGTATAACAATGAAGAAAAACTGAAGAAAAAATGGCAGCAGGCTCAGAGACTCCAAGAGTGAACTAGTGGTTACCAAAGGGGAGGGGTTTGGGACGGGTGGTGAGGGAGGGAGAAGGGGACTGAGGGGTATTATGTTTAGTACACATGGTGTGGGGAATCATGGGGAGAACAGTGTATCACAGAGAAGGGACATAGTGGATCTCTGGCAACTTGCTGCACTGATGAACAGTGACTGCATTGGGGCATGGGTGGGGACTTGATAATATGGGTAAATGTAGTAACCACATTGTTTTTTCATGTGAAACCTTCATAAGAGTGTATATCAATCATACCTTAATAAAAAACTTTAAAAAATAGACCACTTTTTGGAACAGATTTAGAGTTACACAAAATTTGAGAAGATAAAACAAAGTTCCCATATACCCATCACCTAGTCTACCCTCTTAATGTGTACTAGTATAGTATATTTGTTACAGTTAATGAACCAATATTGATACATTATTGTTAATTAAATTCCAGTTTTTTCATATTTTCTTAGTTTTAACTTAATATCCTTTGTTCTGTTCCAGGATATCATCCCAAATACCATATTGTATTTCATTGTCAGGTTTTCTTAGGCTGTGACACACAGACTTCTTAGACTGCTCAGACTTTCCTTGCTTTTTTGAACTTGAAAGTTTTGGGGAGTACTGGTCAAGTATTTTGTAGGATGCCCCTCTATGGGAATTTATCGGATGCATTTTCATGCTTAGACAAGGAATGTGGATTTGGGGAAGGAAGAGCACATAGGTAAAGTACCATTTTCACCATCTTATATCAAAGGTACACACTATTGAAATAATTAAATGACTAAAATAACAAAGACAATAGAGAGTGACTGTTGGCCTTTGCCCATTTTGGAATTGGGTTATTTGTCTTTTTATTTTTGAATTGTAAGAATTCTTTTTATGTTCTGGCTGCAAGTCCCTTATTAGATGTATGATCTATATAATTTTTCTCCTATTCTTTGGTTGTCTTTTCACTTTTGTAATGGTATTCTTTGAAGCACAGAAATTTTTAATTTTTATGAAATCAAATTTATCTATTTTTTTCCTCTTATCCCTTGTGCTTTTGTTGTTGTATTTAAAAAGCCATTACCTAACCCAAAGTCATGAAAATATATGCCTATATTTTCTTCTAAAATGTTATGGTTTGGGCATTTATATTTATGTCTTTGGTGCATTTTGAGTTGTTTTTTATATATGGTATGATGGAGGGGTACACTTTCATTCTTGGGCATGTATATTCAGTTGGTCCAGCACCATTTGTTGAAAACACTCTTCTTTCCCCTTTGAACTGAATTTTAATTTGCTGTTGAAAATCAATTGACCATAGATGTGAGGGTTTATTTCTGGACTCTCAACTATTCATTTATCTACATGTCTATCCATATGCCAGTATCATACTTTCTTGATTACTGCAGCTTTGAAATGAGTTTGAAATCAGAAAGAATAAGTCTTCCAACTTTTCCTTCTTTTTAAAATTGGTTTAGCTATTCTAGACCCCTTAAATTCCACATGAATTTTAGGATCAGGTTGTCAATTTCTGCAAAAGAAACCAGCTAGGTTACTGTTAGGGATCGCACTGTATCTGAGATGAGTTTAGGGAGTATTGCCATCTTAATAACATTAAGTTTTGTGACCCATGAACACAGGATGTCTTTCAATTTATTTAGCTCTCCTTCAGTTTCATTTAACCATGTTTTGTAGCTTTCAGTTACAATTCTTCTAATTCTTTGGTTAAATTAATTCCTAAGTATTTTAATATTTTTGAAATGATTATAAATGGAATTGTTTTCTTTCTTTTTTTTAAATTAAACTATCACTGATAGACAATCATATGAAGGTTTCACATGAACAACATTGTGGTTTCAACATTCACACATATTATCGAGTCCTCACCCCACCACTGCAGTCACTGTCTGTCAGTGTAGTAAGATGTTATAGAGTCATTAGTTGTCTTCTCCATACTGTACTGCCTTCCCGAGACCTACCTATATCGTAATTGTGAATTATAGTGTTCCTTAGTCCCCTTCTCCCTCTTCACTCACCCTCCCCAACCCCTTTGGTAACCACTAGCCCCTTCTCAGAGTCTGTAAGTCTGCTGCTTTGTTCCTTCAGTTTTGCTTTGTTTTTATACTCCACAAATGAGTGAAGTCATTTGGTGCTTGTATTTCTCTGCCTGGCTTATTTCACTGAGCAAAATACCCATCTAGCTCCATAATGGAATTGTTTTCTTAATTTTATTTTCAGATTGTTCACTTCTAATGTATAGAAATACAATTGATTTTTGTATATTGAGTTTGTATCTGCAACCTTGTTGAATTCAATTATTAGTCCTGAAACTAGTTTATTTTGTGTATGTGTGGATTCTGTAGGATTTTCTATACAAGATCATGTCATCTGCAAATATAAACTGTTTTACTTCTTCCTTCCCAATCTGGATGCCTGTATTTATTTTTCTTTCTTAATTTCCCTGGCTAAACCACCAGTACAATGTTGGACAGAAGTGGGGAGAGCAGACATCCTAGTCTTTTCCTGATCTTAGTGGTAGTCAGTCATCTACTATTGAGTATGATATGTGGTGTGGGTTTTTTTGTAGATGTCCTTTATTGGATAGGTGAAGTTCTTTCTGTTCTTAGTTTGTTATGAGTTTTTATCATGAAAAGCATCATATGTAGTAGATGGATCATTTTGCTTGCTCTCTAGAAAGTGGATTGGAGTGGAGCAAGGTCTAAAACGAGTAGAATGCTTAGGATGCAACTGTCATAATCTAGGTGAGTGGTGGTGATGGCTTGGCAGTTTTGCAGGCAAGAAATGATGAAAGAGGGAGGGAATTAACCCAGTAGAGTCAGAATAACAGATTCTAATAAAAGATACTAAGACAATAGGATTGATACAACTTTGTGACAATCGAAAATTATGTTGGGCCTAGCAGATAATGTTGCTCTTCTGTACATATCTCCTCCGCTGGACTGGTACAACCATCCCCCAGCAGCTGCAGGTGTTGGCTAATAATTCACACTTGCACTTCTCTTGACAATTGCTATTAACTCTCTCATCCAGAGATATCCATAAGGTTAAACAACTCCCATCCCTGTGGAAGCCAGTGCCTAACTGATATCAGGGTATAAAAGCCTATCCACCATACCTAAAGGGACTATTTATTACAAGGGTTCTGATACTTGAACTGTCTAATGGGAGTGAAGAGCCATCTTTCTGGCATGATGAATTCAGGTATTAAAGGAAGCCATATTTTAAGCTATTGAAATTGACTATGACAATTGGTTCCAGAAATTTACCAAGCAATTTGCAGAAGGACTTTGGCAATAATGAAAATATCTGTGGTTAGAAAATAAGGAAAACAAGTCCTAAAAAACTATTTTAGTTTACAGGGTGATGAAAATAATTTATGACTTAATTGTGGGAAGTTACATGACTTTATACTTGTGATGGCCACATGGATGTTTTTTGAGAAATCTTCTTTTTCAATGACATCCTTTATGAATTCTTTTAGTGTAGGATTCCTGTATCTTAGCTTTGGTTCCCTGGAGAGCAGAACTTCGCAGAGAAGCTTTTGTGCTCCTACTCTACTTATTTATTTATTTATTTATTTATTTATTTTTAATTTTTTATTAAGGTATGACTGATATACATTCTTACGAAGGTTTCTCATGAAAAAAAAATGTGGTTACTACATTTGCCCATATTATCAAGTCCTCACCCATACTCCAATGCAGTCACTGTCCATCAGTATAGTAAAATGACACAGGTTCACTGGTTGCCTTCTCTGTGCTACACTGTTTTCCCCATGACCCCCCATACCATGTGTACTAAACATTAATAGCCCTCAATCCCCTTCTCCCTCCCTCCCCACATGCCTTCCCACACCCCTCCCCTTTGGTAATCACTAGTCCCTTCTTGGAGTCTGTGAGTCTGCTGCTGTTTTGTTCCTTCAGTTTTGCTTTGTTGTTATACTCCACAAATGAGGGAAATCATTTGGCACTTGTCTTTCTCCACCTGGCTTATTTCACTGAGCATAATATCCTCCAGCTCCATCCATGTTGTTGCAAATGGTAGGATTTGTTTCTTTCTTATGGCTGAATAGTATTCCATTGTGTATATGTACCACATCTTCTTTATCCATGCATCTACTGATGGACACTTAGGTTGCTTCCATTTCTTGACTATTGTAAACAGTGCTGCAATAAACATAGGGGTGCATCTGTCTTTTTGAATCTGAGAACTTGTATTCTTTGGGTATGTGCTCCTATACTATTTAAAGCTTCAGTCCCAGGGAATTAGGGACAGGGGCAGTAAGAGTGAGACATGGAAACTTGAGACATGGAAGGGGAGAGCACAGACAAGGGTGGGTTCCTGAGTTGGCCACTATTTGATATCAGGCACTCTGGATTGCTTGCTGTCCTAAGTCAGTCTTATGAGAGGATATGGAATGCTACTGTGTCTCAGGAGAGCCAGTTGGGGCTGGGAGTGTGTATGAGAAAAGATGCACCAACCAAAAGATATAGAGTTACTGAATAGATTAAAAGAATAAGACATTTGGCTATTATAAATAGTGCTGT